GTCCCGAATTGGCTCCTAGCCGGTGAGTTTTTTCGTTGGTTCTCTCTATTTTTGTTATTTGAGTGTTTTTCTCGTTTTTTTATTCATGTTCTGCAAATGAGGTCGCCAAGGATAAAGTAGAAAGAAGGGAGCTTAATTGAAATTGAATTTCAAATGTAAGTATTTTTTTTTACATTATAATTTTTAGCTCGGTTTTCTTTCCTCCTTCTCTTTTTTTCCTTTTTTTCGCTTTTCAACATTGAAATCTGGTGTTGGAATTGTACAAATTTTTATCGTCTGATGGAATTTTGGTGTTTGGTTTAGATATTGACAATTTGCAACTAGAAAGGTTTCATTAGTTAAACTTTGGTGGTGGCTGGTTATTTGAATCCCCATCCTTTTTCTTAAAAAAAATATTTAATCTTTCACGATAAATATTTATGCATGTCATTATTCTTTCATGGTGTTTGTGGACTCAAGAAATTTTATTAAGAGTTTACCTAAATTTTCTCTATAAATATTAGGGTTGACATGTATGATCCTACTGTTTGAAAGTTTATAAAGGGTTGCTGATTGTATACAATTATATGGCCTTTAAACTAAGCCTAATTAATTATTAGATCTCTAAATTTGAAATTCTAGGTTTCCAAATGTTGTAAGTTCCATGTACTTGAACAAGCATAGTATTATCAGAATTCAGAATTTATAAGCTCATTTTGAATATTTACCAGGCGTTTTCAGGTTTACTTTTGAATTTAGTCTGTCTATTAGAGAGGGAAAAAAACACAACTAATCTGAGAATCTTATAATTAAATAACACCTCCCCTTTATTTCCTTTTCACGAAACTTGATATTTCAGTGAATGCCTTGTATGTTTGAGACCGATCGTAATCCAAACTTTCGTTTTTATCATTAAATATCCCGTCTCAATGGTTTCAGTTGTAGGAAACTCAAATAATTAATTTTAATCAGAAAAGGAATTTTCTTATGTGATAGTCATTTTATGTTGCAGCTGCTTGGATTTTACTTAAAAATAGACCATATATGTCACACATTACACACGGCAAAAAATTAACGGAAGTTGCATAATTGTAGTGATGCTCATCTGTATTCAATTATAATCATTAATGTAAAGTATAGGTTTTCATCTTACTAAACAACTAGACCAATAAACAACTAGACCAATATCACCCCTTTACTGTACTGTACTTCCTGTGCACAAAATTCAGCATCAAAAATTATATCTTGATTAATATTTGGTAAATAACTATTCATTATTTTCGTAGTTATTTAAATTTTATAATCCTACATTGAAGTAGGAATGGCTGAAGAAAAGAAATGATTTCCGGTAAGCGGGTGTTCCTTGGTATTATTCTATGAAATTCCTTGGCGTTCTGTTTTCTTTTAGGTTTTTAAAATAGGGTAATTTTATAGGAGCCACTTAACTTTGGGAGCCATAGTGTAACCTCCCAGCAGTCCGAGTCACTTGCAATTCCTATATAGAAACTATCTTTAAAGTGACTTTATGTTGCAATCAATCACATCTCAATCAAAATTTTCACTAAAAATTCAAAAATACCCTTTGAACTAGTTCAAGACACATAACTCATTTTGTTTATATTTAGGTCTAGTTAGGATAATGTCATCAGATACCTTAAACGTGAATTTTTAAAAGTTTTTTTTTAGTTTTTTAGTGAAAATTTAAATAAGAGGTGGTTGATTGAACACAAACCTATTTTCAAGATGGTCTATATATATATAACTTGAAGTTTGAATAATGGTTCATGCAGAATTATCCTATTTCGAGGGGGTTTATATGAAAAAACCGTTTCTTTTATACTGAACTATTGCTATTGTCCTTTATTTGTAGATGACGGTAATAGAGCTCAAAGTGTTCATGCATTGTGAGGCTTGTGAAAGGTCCGTCTTCAACACCCTTCGCAAATATAGAGGTATACACAATATTATGAACGTACATCTGGGATTTTTTCAACAACAAATTGGCAAGAGAAACACAAAATATTCTAGACTTGAATCAAGATGTACATTCATGAAATAAACCATGCTAATTAATATTCACGTGTTATCTTTTATTCACATGCATGTGCATAAATCTTTTTTAAATCATATACCATGTGCATGTTCAGCCTTTATATAACTGATTGTTCAATTAAATTTCCAATAGCAGCCATATTTACTTCTTCTTTTTTTTTCCGTTATAAGATATTCTGTATTTCTATATAATTTTTTTCCAACGTATTATGTTGACATAAGATGATGTGACTGAATTTCCTTTAGGCGTTAAAGAAGTGAAAACAGACATGGAATTGCACAGAGCTACGGTGACCGGGCAAATCGATCCGGCAAAAATCTTGAAAAAACTCAAGAAAAAGACTGGAAAGAGAGCAGAAATCATAGAAAATATTGGCGATGAAGATGAACAGGAAGCAAACCAAATGAACTTGACGCCAAAAAATTTCACCTTGCATGATGTAGATCATGACCATGTTAGTAATATAATTGACATTTTAAATAAACACCCGGTGATAAACTTTGATATGTTTAGCGATGAGAATCCAAATGCATGCTCAATTGTATAGCTATACGTTCCATGATTTGTCTTTTTGGTTCTAATGGATTACATTTAATATTTAATTTGTGCTAAGAGTCATGGTACAGACTCTTTTAATTATGGAGAGATAAAACTTCATTGGTCTCAAACTCCTCTTTGTAAACTCCATTTTTTCCCTTCACCGCTGCATCGTGGACACATGACAAGCACAAAATTTTTAGAGTTTTGGATGACTCTTTTTATTTTGTTAGTGAAATGAGGAGTATTATACCTCAATGTTTCTTTAGTAAGAGTTTAAGAAACAAAATAAAAGCACTCAAGTTTTGTCATGTACATATGTTAGTATTGAGGCTAACATGAAAGAATTTGGATCCTCCCAACTATAAAAAAGTAGCGGAGGGACCACTAGTTTTAATGCTAACCATTGATTATGGATGGTTGAAATATATTTTAAAGCTAACACTTACCGTACCCTCCAAATTAACATTGTTAGTTAATGTGTGGTCAAATGATCAAAATTCCTCTAATAAACTATGGAAAAAAAGCACCCATAAGTTTTTTAGTTTTGAAATTTTTAAAATTTTTAAAATTTTCAATAGCTATAATTTTTGGAATTTAAAGGGCCTTCTTGTATTTTTTTTTTTCAATGGGTTGTTTGTAGTTTCATATTTTTTAGACCGCTATTTATAATTTTTTATATTTTTTAGAAGTTATTTATAATTTCATAAGTTAACTTGCAAATAGGAATGATTTGAGGGGTAGATATTAGCCTTGAGGGATGATGCTTCTTGGTGCAAAATTATGGATAATGCCTTCACAGAATTAAGTGTAAAAACCTCAAAATATTTTAGTGGTTTTATGAAATCTCAAAACTTGTTGAGGGTTTGAAAACTTACGGGGGCTTAGTGTCAAGCAATTAAACTGATTGGAGGTTCAGTGGAAATTATCATTTTAAAATTTAAGCACGGCCATGTAGCAATTTTTTTAAAATATAAAGTTAATTGTAAACCATACCCTTACGCTCTGTTATATATAAAAGAGAAGAGAAGTGGAAAATGTGATTATTAGATTTTTGTTAATTATGGATGGTTATGATTTAATTATGATTACCATTTTTTACTATAATTAGAACTATTTAATTCAAATCGATTTAATTTGATGAGAATTCTAATTATGGATAGAAAACAAATCATATCATAATATAATGCTAATTTAATATTAAATATAACATATGGCACGTGATATTGCTTTGTGCACTCAGGTATCGTTGTTTTATGCATTTAGAAGTACTACCAATTTCTCATTATATATAAAGAAAAGATCGGATGATCTTCTTCTTAATTATATTATGTTTGTGAATTACTTCAAATGGTTTTGATGCAATTTGAATGTAATTAACACTAATATTTTTTGAAGGGTAAATTACATAAACGCAAAGAACTTTCATCATTTTGTAGTAAACCCCCTATAGCATTCAAAACTATACTAAACACCCCCAAAAACTTTTAGAATTGCAGAAATCCTCCAATAAGTTTTTGCTTTTTGCAGATAACCCCCATAAATTAGAATTAAAAATAACATTAAATGATATTTTGAAGGACACTTACAGCAAAAAAATAGATATTAGGACCGTAACTTGGGAGTGAGCAAAGGAGAATAAATGACAAAAGACGAGAGACTTCTACTTTGTGGGCTGAAATATAATAAACCTCATAAAGGGGTTCTCAATAATTTAAGGGTTATTGTTCTTTTTTAAGTCGAAAGAGTTGCATGTGACATGTTAGATGTAACTATGTTAACTTTGGTGTGTTTTCTGCAAAAAAATTTTGAGGGTTTAGTGTGATTTTGAAAGTTATTGGGGTTTACTCTAAAATGTTGAATGTTCTTTGGGGTTTGATGTAATTTACCTATAATTTACCCTTTTATGAACTACATGGATAGATAGACTAGTTGATGCAGCGCGGAAGTGATAACCTCGGAATCCACCAAGGGTGTTTTCTGAATCCACAAAGAACGATCTTCGAATCCACGAAGAAAATATTGAAAAAGAGAAATTTTATTGATGAAAAGTTATGCCTCTAGGGCTTACAAGACTCTTCTTAAATAGAAAAAAAACAAAACTCCTACAAGGACTCTAATTCCTACAAGGACTCTCAACTTACCAAAAATGGTAAAGAATTCCTAAAACATTAAAACTCCTAAAAAGACTCCTTATGATTAGGAAAGTCCTCCGGTCAAAACTGAGATCAAATCCGATTTGTTTCCTAAACAAAACAGACTCCTAAAATATTACTAAAAATAGTAAAAACGGATAAAAATACAAATATCTCTCAAACCGTAAGGAATTTGGCGAAACTGAGAATGCAAACCAAACCCGGAGGGGTCGGTTTGGATGGCTCCGTCTCGTCGAGATAGTCGATTTTCATATATAATTCGTCCAATTCCGACGTATGGTTTGAAAGTTACGGCCGTTTCTTCGAAACAAGTTATTTTCTTCGACCAGGCCAGCATTTGGGCTTGCGACTGTCCCACTTTGACATAAACATGTCTGCTAAGTGTTCTACATCACTAGTGAATAGTAATGCTACTAAAATTAGAGAGAATAGTGATGATGCTAAAATTAACTTTTCCATATCCACTTTTAAGTTCTCGTGACTCATGGACTAGCCAACATAATTCGTCAATTTCTTATAATCATTAACTTTTGTAGATAGATAGCAAGCATGTATGGAAAGTACAACTCTTATACAAAAGGAAAAGAAATACGTTATTAGTCCTAATCTAGCTATTAATTTTAGGGGGCATCATTCTCCTTCTTTAGGTCAAGAAGTGAAAATTTGCAGATTTAGTCTTTAGATACTTAGAATCCTCCCACTTTCTCTTTGCGTGTACTTTACTTCATCATCAATACTTTGGCCTTTGATCAGACCGGCTCATCATAGAGAAGAAGGGAACATCAAATTTTGAATTAGAAGTTCTTAATTTGTTGATCAATCCTAAGATTAGCAAGTAGCATAAGACAAACATGAAGGAATTGATCCTTAGAAGTTAGAATGATGCAAAGTTAGAAGAGAATACAACTGCAACTTCACGAGGGGGAATTAGATTTCGTCAGCTCACAAATGAGACAGCTGCAAGCTTATCAATTTTCATCACGTGCACTGATGCACAGGAGGCAAAAAAAATGAAAAAAATGAAAAAAAAATTTGAGACCATAAGCTTGAGCAGCCGATAAGGCAAAAGAAATTAATTACTAGGGAGATTCGTGTATCTATTAATAATCAAATCTCTTTTGCCCGATCTAATAGTGTTTGCCACTTGCCTTTCTAGTCCCATTTCTCATCAAAGCTTTAGAGTGATATTAGGATAATATAAAGGAAGAGTAACTTCAATTAAGATACAATTAGGATACCATAGGTCCCAATCTTAAGCACCTTTTTATGGACTTAAGCACCTTTTTATTTGTCAAAGGCCATGTCATTGCACCAAACCCCTGGAAGTCATTGTTGGCGAGAGAATTAAACTTGGATTACTCTAATATTATATCAAAGAGCTCTTTCATTACACCAAAATTTTGAGGATATAATGAAAATAAAAGGACATGCTTTTATACTCTGACCCTTATGAACCATAACTGGAGTTTTTTTAATATATTTCGCTTTTATCATATAAATATAAATTAAATTATGTTGAATCAATCTTTGTTTATAACCAGTGGACGATGGACAATGGCTGGAGGCACTCATCGGTGATCTCTAGAACTTTGGTTGAAGGCAACCGATGGACAATGGCCGGAGGTGATCATCCGTGATCTCTATGGCATGTTTGGCAATCCCTCAAAATGTGCACCGGTTTGATCCCAATTCATACTAGAGAAAGAGTGGTCGGGTAAAACTAGGTCAACATTGGCATTTGACCTTCACACTAGTTTGTCTCCAACCACCTCCCCGTATCAAATCAAAATTGATGTAGTTTAAAACAGAACAAGGATCAGTCCTGGCCTAATTTTAGTGTGGCTACCGAACACACCTTTATATATTGTTGAAAACCTCATTATAATATTTCAAATGTAAATATTTAATTGTTTTTAATAGGTTTTCTCACTATTGTGCGGGACGGGCCATGACACGAGTCGGCCCGTTTGGTCAACTTAATTATTATTTTTGTTATTTTTTAATATTTAATTGTTTTTAATAGGGTTTTTTCAATATTGTTAAACACTTAAGAATTATATGAAAATAGCAAACTAACAATGACGTGATTACAAATACTGAAAAAATAATTTTATTAAGTAAAATTATATATTTGCATACAATTATAGAGAAAACCATCACAAACACAGAGATTTAATACAGTTCAGAGCAAGTTTTACATCAATGAATAGTATAATATTATTCCACTAGTTAAAAAAATACAAGAATAAAAGAAATTACAATAAACTTTAAAGAAACAAAGATACTACTACCAACTAAATGCGACTCCACGGGTCGGGACAAGCGAGCCATCCCGCTCATATGTGGGCTTCACCCGCTCGCTAGGCCTCGTGGGCCGAACGAGTTGTTAGCTCACAATTGACTTGAGCCGACCCAGCTAATGTAGCGGGCCAAATCGGACCCGTCCCGCGCTGATGGGAGTCGAGCGGGCTGGTGGGCTGACAAGCCTGACATGGCCCAGTGCCCACACCTGCTCTTCAGTCAAACTTCAGTCCCGTTGTAACGGTTCCCATGTTTCTTCCGCACAAAACGGGAATTTATATCCACAACGGAACTCAAATAACAAAACCCATTGCTGTCCCCCTCATCATTCTAATCCTTAATTAATTAACATAAAATTACGTTCACAAACTATTATTCGCGACAAAGCATATATTTTTAAAAAGCATGGGGGTAAAAACTTTACTCTAATCTCAAAAACATTCCCTCTCTATAAATAAATAAACCTACCGACCATAGATGAATCCAAAGAATGGAACAAGGAGAAACCCCAGAAGAAGAAAACAAGAATTTACTCCAGATCCAATAACCTCTAGAGAGAGGAAACTCATTCACCAAATTCTAGAG